TCCCTAAGGTCCTCCACAGCTTCCATCTCCCCAAAAAACTGTGAGTAACAATCTATCCATCTATAATTATGTTTATGATGCACACATACACAGTTAATCATACACATTATGTTTTAAGAAAAGCGAATATGTCTGGTATATTGTTTACGTTGAAGTTTATTTTGTAGAAACTACAGAGAATAAATGCAATTCAAGGAAGTAGGGAAATTGTGTAAACAAACATTTTCATCGCACATTTACACAACAAATGACATGGTTTTCCATCCAACTCAGTGTTCTTATGGAACAGTGGTCACTACCGGAGGGTAGTGACCACTACCGGAGGGGTACTGCCGGAGGGGTAGTGACCACTACCGGAGGGGTAGTGACCACTGGGGCAGGGGCGGACTGGCCATCTGTAGAATCTGGAGAACCACAGAACGGCCGGTCGTGAAGAGCCGTTGACGGCCGGCCGGCCCTTTAAAGAAAATTGTTTAACGTCATCTATTAAGTTGCGCTGACGGCCGACAGAGGGCGACAGCGGCCGCTAATGCAGTTGTGTGGTTCTTATCTGTCAAATAATAACACACGAAGAAGAAAAAAGACCGGCCACACTAAGGCCCAATCCCAAACCACTCCCTCGACACTACCCCTCCGTGATGGAGTGAACTCTGTCTGTAGCCACACTCGCAGCTCAACGAGGCTCCCTCCTGTCAGACGGAGGGAGTAAATACAGCAGCAAGCTTTGGGACGGCCTCCCCTCTCTCCGGCAGAAACAGGAAATGCCGTAACTGTATGTAACAACGGTTTCAAATCAGCATCTCTTTGACAAAAAGTTTAAATGAATAACTCAAATAAAACTCCAAACATCTTTCATTGTGTTTCAAAGCTCTTTTAGTTTTAAACCTGATGTTTATAAGCTTCTTAGTTTTTGCAACGGTCTGTAAATATACACAACTTTATAATAAAATGCACACATTTACCTTTTTCTAGACTAAACACAGGTATGATCCTAAATTAAAAACATATGAGGTTATCATGAGGTTGTTAACATCGCAGTTTATCAGTGGATGTTTGCTGGAACTACTTGTAAACAGCGTGTTTCCTGACGGACACACACAGCGTGACTCCGGTCAGGTAGAGACCGGTCTCAAGTCAGCACCGCTGCAGACTCGCTGTTTGAGGGCTTGATAGCCCACTCCCCCTCCACACTCGTTGCTTTGGAACAGCCCTCAATATGGCGGACCCTCCGCGTGAACGCGCAAACGGAGGGGTAGGGTGTAGGGGTAGGGTGTAGGGGGCGGTTTGGGAATGGGCCGAAGAGAAGGGATTAGACGCTGCGGCAGACAGGGAGAATGAAAAAACATGGATACAAATCAAAGAAAACGAAAAGAAAAAGGTGGGCCGAGAAGGCAAGAGAAAAAAAGGTGAAGTCACTCGCAGGTGAAGCATATAAATGTCGCAAATTGACAGACCTTTTTGGCAGCTACAAGCACTATCAGCAGCAGCTTAGAACAAATGCAAGATGATGAAGAGAATGATGAGGGTGCGAGTTCAGATATACAGCCAGCCTCCTGCGTTCATGATGAGGGACAGAGTTGAGCTGGTGGAAGAACCAGCTCAACTGGCACACGTGCAGGGCAAGAGCAAGAGGTGGGTGAGAATTATCCCCTGAACTCAGTGGCGTTTTCTCCTGGAGGCCAAGGGAAGCCAGGCTTCCCCTGTTTTTTGGATTATAGTTATAATATTAATAAATAAATAAAAACACTTAGTTTAGTTTCGGTAATTATTCTGCCGGCCCGTCTCTCCCCCATTCTCATTGAGTATTTTACAAAGAGTGAAACAGCGCCCCTCTAGATGTTATGGTGAAACAGTATATTGCACTCTCTGTTGCCAGAGGAGGCCAGCCGAAATGGGCTTCCCTTGGTGAAAAAAATTGAGGGATTGACCAATCAGATGAGGCTCACGTCATGCCTCACAATCCAATCAAATCGCATCAACTTCAGTTCGTACTGTATCACCGCCCTTAAAAAGTAGCAAGCAACTGAAGCAAGTGCAATTGTGGAGGGTGGAGATTTGGAGTATTTCATCAAAAATAATTGTACTAAACTTCCGCTACAGCAGCAACTAAAAATGAAATCTGATGACAGGCCAATGCCCAAACTGGAGCTGTGTACAGAGAGGAACAAAGGAGCGTATCGGACGTAAAACTTTAAATAATAAACAGCGGATTTCTAACATTTGACATTTCATGTGGCCGGACTGGGTCAGTTTCCAGGGCTGAATTGTAGTCCCAGTCCGCCCCTGCACTGGGGTAGTAGGAGCAGCAATAGTTGTAGCTGCAGTGGTCGCTAGCCGGTTTAACAGCTCAAGGATCATCTGAATCAACTGGGTGTTAATGGCCTGCTGGTTGTTGTTGTTGTTGTTGTTGTTCTGCAAGAAAATCAGAGAGTCATTGTCAAATAAAGCAGAGGAGTAGCTAGGGAATTGTATATCATTTCACAATCAAGTGTTTGTTGAACTTCAGAGGATAGAGAAAACAGTCACCTCATTTGAATTTGAGTCAGAGTCAGAGTCAGAGTCAGAGCCAGAGCTTGAGCGAGCAAGTATTTTGTGCTCGGTGTCCATCTGTAGGGAAAGCCACAATTATGATACTGCCTTCATTTTTCTATAACAATTCAAATACTTTTATCACGGTATGAGAAGAAAAGTACTGATATTAAGTTTGAAAATGTTACACTTACAGGCTGAGCCAGAGCCAGGCTCAGGAGGCATCCAAGAACAAGAGCTAGCTTCAGCATGGTTACAGTGATGATCTGTTAGAAGGAAGAAATAAAGAGTGATGCAGGTTTTCTAAAATATGAGCAAATTCCCACTTAGAAGAATAGAAGGAAAATATATAATTACCTTCAATTCTTCACAACTTCAGAAGATTGTCTCGTAGAGAGTCGAGGAGGTTTTTGAGTTTCTCTGAGTGTTGAGCTTTGCATATATACAGGTACAGGAGTGGGTGTCCTCTCATTAGCAAGGTAACAACAATGTTGGAAAACTGCAAATATTAGGAAATCTCCCTCCTCCACATTTCAAGGTGTGGATCAGAGATGGAAACCAAACACCGTATGATGGTGTGTTGCATTCATGTAATACCTCATATCATAAATGATTATAGTTAATCTAATTAGTCTAGTGTTGAAAAATTAAGAAAACAAATGCAATGAAATCTGTAAATGTAATCTCCTGCGTTGAATCCCTTCTGCATATGTTTCGGCAAGACACGGCTGAAAAGAACATTAATAATAAAAATTGAATTATCTTTTCTTTTTTTTTTACATTGGGCAAAACCCCAGCCTTTTTGTGACTCAGGATGAATGTCTGTTTATAATAAAAACACATTTGAAAAGCTGTCACACTGAAATAGCTGCAGCAAAATGATATATAAGTGAATGATACCCAGTAATTATTACAGATGTTTGATCAGCTCTGTTTTTTTCAGTGTGTGATGTTGTACTCAGAATCATCTCCTACAGTAAATGATACAGTCCTAATCATTCCAGGTCAATCAAACATGTGGGTCATTTCACTTTATTTTCTGGTGTAACTACTCAATAAACTTTATGAATTGAAAACATGGATCTAGCATGTGACTTTCTTAAAATGTATAATGACATCTATCTATCTATCTATCTAGTTATTCCACTCATGGCAATTATTATATAACGAAGCAGAAATGCAATACTTGTTGTTTTGCATTGGGCACAACCCCAGCCTTTTCGTGACTCAGGATGAATATCTTTTTACAATAAATGACATTTGACAAGCTTTCACACTGAAATAGCTGCAGCAAAACACTTACAAAAAAGGATTGAATGCAATTGTTAATAAAACAAATTGCTTGCAGAAATGTCCCTTAACACAATATTATATTACCCATTACACGTGTCTTTGAAAGACCCTGAAAAAAAGTGTCATGTTGCCAATGAGAACTCCTTTTGACTGTTCATTCAAAGCTACACATGAGTGACGACTTGAGTACAGACCCGGGGGGCATTAGGAAACACGCCACGCCTGATCTTCAAACATACTTACTACAAATTACAATAATGAGATGTAAATATAGATTAACATGTGTCAAATAACCCCAAACCAAGGTGTTGCCATGGGCACAAAAGGGGTTATTCAAAGAGTATGTAATAGAATCCATCATATTATAATGTGAAGGTAAAATTCCACATGCAGTTCATTTAGTTAACAATTGCAGTCCAGTCATCCTTTGTTGGAGAGTTTCTCTGAAGTCATTCATGGATTTAGATGGATAGACTGTATCTATGTGATGAAATGTGTTTTGCAAGAAAGCTGTCACAAGTCAGCTGGGGTTTAGCCCAATAACAAAAAGAGAGCAATGCAATTCTGTTCGAAATATGTTTAATATTTGTAACCTATCTCTTGCCAACAAATATCAAAATAGTCAGCAATTCATCTAATTTATCCCATTGCCTCCAGTGTTCTTCCACTCTCTGATAAGCCTTTGAATTAAATTCATTTTTAGAGTCACAAAACAATGTATCCTATTATGTTTTCCAACCAAACTGTCTCCAGGAATACACGCTGTTGTCTTAGCATTCACACATATCATTCTCATCCTCTTCAGATACCTCCAGAAATGTTTTACATGCTGTAGACAGTGGTGAAATGTTTGTATTATATGATGTACAAAGCTGGCTCAGGTAGTCTCACAAGTAGAGAGTCCATGCATGACATTTACTTGATTACATCTCTGTCTGATTGGCCAACACAGAAGGGTGTAGTGTAAACCTACTAAACCTAGATAACAGTGTTAATATACAATGTTTGCTGATTATGAAAACAAATCCATTTGATATATGTATGTTCATTCAGATCTGAGCTATTAAATTAATGCAACTTATCATAAATCTAGGAGTGTTTTCAATCTTTGATCATTAGCAACACCTTCAAATGTGGTGGTAGAAATAACAATTTCCCAACCTTGCTGTTTGGTAATGGGATGACATGCACTCCTGTTACTGTACTGTATATAAGGAAAGCTCAACATTCATAGCAACTCAAAAACCTCCTCGACTCTCTGTGAGATAAACTGCTGAAGGTGCAAAGATTTGAAGGTAAATATATCTTATCTTTCTGTACTTTATATGTGAGGCTGGTGGTGATTTTGCCAATTTTGTAGTAAATGCATCAGTCTTGATTTGTTCCATTTGACAGTGTGATCACTGTAACCATGCTGAAGCTAGCTCTTGTGCTTGGATGCCTCCTGAGCCTGGCTCTGGCTCGTCCTGTGAGTTTAATATGTCCATTCTCAATATCATTTATGATTCGTATCCGATAACAGTCAGTTTCAAATTTGCAACTTGTAAATTTATTTTCCAGAATGACATGGAGCATAAACGACTTGCTCGTTCAAGCTCATCTGAGTCAAATTCAGGAGAGGTGAGTGCTTTCTTTAACTTCTCTAATTCAACATTCAACACACCTATATGTCAAATACTGAAGAATTCCTACACATTTGAATCTGAATGTTTCTGATTTTCTTGCAGAGCACCACCAGCGCAATCACAACCCCCAATATTGCCTCACTCATACAACTACTGCTGCGGCTACTTAGTGGGAACTGAAATGTCACCTATATATAAGTGAATGATACCCAGTAATTATTAGATGTTTGATCAGCTCTGTTTTTTTTCAGTGTGTGATGTTGTACTCAGAATCATCTCCTACAGTAAATGATACAGTCCTAATCATTCCAGGTCAATCAAACATGTGGGTCATTTCACTTATTTTCTGGAGTAACTACTCAATAAACTTCATGAATTGAAAACATGGATCTAGAATGTGTGTCTTTCTTAAAATGTATAATGATATGAGATATAAATATATCTATCTATCTATCTATCTATCCATCTATTTATTTATTAGTTAATTCCACTCATGGCAATTATTATAAAACAAAACATGTACACATTTTGTGTAGCCCATAATGGAAAGGAGCAGGGATAAGCCAATCTTATTGAACCTATACCTTATTTAAAAGAACATTTAAAAAAGGTAATACAAATTATAGGAGCCGTTTAAGTTTATTGTTGGCATGTTATATTATTTTGTTTAGTTTTATAATGCTATATTATTTTTGAACACTTGGTGGTGTGGGTTAGCTGCACAGGGGTATAAATAAGGTCATAGGTGACCGGAAAGGCAACAGAACACAGGTAGAGGAAGAGCACACTATTCTAACCACACACGGCAGATGCTCACAGCTACTGAAAACAATCATCAACCCATTCAACTCGTACAACACTGAATGAACATCAAACTAAACTGCATTCAACGACCCAAAATCATCTGTTATGTTCTGTGTAAAGATCACTCTTAACCTCACCTGTATCTACCGAACCTATGTACTTTTATGCACATTTTTGTTTCTCATACATATGTAATAAAAGAAAAATATATATTTGGTCATATTTTTTTTATATTTTATTTGTCAAATAGTACGCATGAAGTTAATTTGATCCCAATGTTTGATGTAAGTAGAATGATAAAGACACCATCATACAATTTAACAAGCGACAGAAACAACAGAGCTGACGTTGACAAACAGTGATTTAATACTTTTATTCACTTATTGCTTGTTCTTTTTACATTGAGTTACTATAAAGTAGCTGCAGTAGTTGTAGTAGTTGTTGAGTTAACATATTGGGGTCAACAGTTGTGGGCACCCCATCCTGGGTAGTCACCATACTCATTTGAATCAAAACAATGTTGAATAATAACATTTAACTTGTGATAATTAGAAACAAGTTGCCATCAACACATCAACATTGATTTACAGATTTTATGAGGACCAAAATATATTTTCAATTGTATATATACAGCTAGTTTCAACATTATAAGACGAACGAAAATCTGAAGACACAGAAGCCTTCATTTAAGTTGTTACTGGGGTGTAACGGTTCACAGAATTCACGGTTCGGTACGTACCTCGGTTTGGGGGTCACGGTTGGGTACGGGTTCGGTACAACAAGAAAAAGCAACAAAAAAAAGTCCCAAATCCATAATTCCAGGTTTGTTTTTTATTTATTTTGAACAGTAGTGCAAGTTTCAGTTTAAAAATAAGGCACTTTAACATTTTGAATAATTAACTTTCAATAAAAGCTGGGGTTAGACAAAACGCTTTGGATCACGTGATGACACCGGCGAGCTGAGCGGAGTAGTCGGGTGCAGGTGTTCCGGATTAACTTGTTTCCCGATCAACTTGTTTCCCGATCAACTCGTTTCCGTGGGGTGCGTGGCTTTCGACTGAAATACACATTTCCATCACTTTCTTCTGTCGTTTGGTATATTTGGCTTCTTAGGAACACGTTGATGCACATCCAGTACCAGTGTGTGAGGTTGTGATTACGATGGCGATATCCGGACGCGAACAGCGAGGACTACAACAAGACAAACGAGTTTCTCGAATAAATCATTTAAACCAGCTATTGTTGCCAGACTTATTACGGAATACCGTTGTTAATGTCCAAGTCCATCTGTGTATACCTTCAGACAGCCTCCAAGTGAAGCACACGGTGTTTACTCACAGTTTGAAAGCAGCGTGGAGAAGTCTTCATCTGTGTCTTCATCTGTGTTAAACTGATCCTCCCAGGGAACTGGGACTCGCCCAGGTTAAAATGTGACCCGCCCAGGTTAAAATGTGACCCGCCCAGGTTAAATTGTGTTACGATTTCTGTGGCTATCTACCAGCGATCATGTTTAATATGAAAGACTACCCACACATGTATCCCTTATAAAAACGGTATTGTGCAGCACTCATCCAGATAAGATGTGACTGTTACCTCGTTTTGCAAAGATAGCAGCAGAAATGTCATTGGGGATATTTAGACTTTAAAATGCTGCTTGGTCGTGAATGTTGGTGTCGGCAAACAATATTACGAATCCTCTATTCAAACATAATATTCAATGTGCATCGACATGAAAATAACAAAAAAGTTCATGCTGGACCCAAACCCGAGTCCCAACAGTAAAAATCAATCATGCCCTGCGCGTTATGAGTGCGCCACGAAACATCACGTCCTAACAGATCACCACAGCTCATTTTGTTACATTAACATTGTCAACAAGTTCTAGAAAAATGCAACCCGACATCATATTGATAATAATATATGATACAAATGTAAGACTGACAACAATAATAGTTTGTAAAGGATTTATTGACGTGAATGTTTTGAACAGTGAACACTTAACACAGAAATCGTAACAGTTTGACCTGGGCGGGTCACAGTTTAACCTGGGCAGGTCCCAGTTCCCTGGGAGGATCGGTTTAACACAGATGAAGACTTCTCCATTCAACACGTCCTAACTGATCACCAGAGAACAATAAATCAAGTCGCTGTGTTGATGCCTGTTACATCACATTACATTGCATTTAGCTGACGCTTTTATCCAAAGTGATTTACAATAAGTATTCACTGTTCAAAACATTCACATCAATAAATCCTTTACTAACTATTATTGTTGTCAGTCTTACATTTGTATCATATATTATTATCAATATGATGTCGGGTTGCATTTTTCTAGAACTTGTTGACAATGTTAATGTAACAAAATGAGCTGTGGTGATCTGTTAGGACGTGATGTTTCGTGGCGCACTCATAAAGCGCAGGGCATGATTGATTTTTACTGTTGGGACTCGGGTTTGAGTCCAGCATGAACTTTTTTGTTATTTTCATGTCGATGCACATTGAAAATTATGTTTGAATAGAGGATTCGTAATATTGTTTGCCGACACCAACATTCATGACCAAGCAGCATTTTAAAGTCTAAATATCCCCAATGACATTTCTGCTGCTATCTTTGCAAAACGAGGTAACAGTCACATCTTATCTGGATGAGTGCTGCACAATACCGTTTTTATAAGGGATACATATGTGGGTAGTCTTTCATATTAAACATGATCGCTGGTAGATAGCCACAGAAATCGTAACACAATTTAACCTGGGCGGGTCACATTTTAACCTGGGCGGGTCCCAGTTCCCTGGGAGGATCACAGTTTAACACAGATGAAGACTTCTCCACGCTGCTTTCAAACTGTGAGTAAACACCATGTGCTTCACTTGGAGGCTGTCTGAAGGTATACACAGATGGACTTGGACATTAACAACGATATTCCGTAATAAGTCTGGCAACAATAGCTGGTTTAAATGATTTATTCGAGCAACTCGTTTGTCTTGTTGTAGTCCTCGCTGTTCGCGTCCGGATATCGCCATCGTAATCACAACCTCACACACTGGTACTGGATGTGCATCAACGTGTTCCTAAGAAGCCAAATATACCAAAAGATGTATGTAAACGACAGAAGAAAGTGATGGAAATGTGTATTTCAGTCGAAAGCCACGCACCGCACGGAAACGAGTTGATCGGGAAACAAGTTGATCGGGAAACAAGTTAATCCGGAACACCGGCGGTAATCAGACTTATATGATTTAACCAAAACTGAAAGTCTCAAAGTGTAATGCGCAGTCAGTTCTATTAGTGTGTAAAAACATCTGCGTCTAAAAGTAGTTTGACCAGAGCTAGAGCAAAGAAAGACAGCGGCCTCGTGGCGGAAATGTTTGGTGAAGAGGAACACGTCCCCAAGTGGGCTAGTCAATTGCTTTCTGAAATACAAAGCGTTAAAGAAACCTGTAACGTAAGGTTTGACAATCTGGACAAGGCTATTGTTCAGTTGAAGAAAGACTCTAAGGCCACTTATCAAGGAATAAACAACGCAGAGAAGCGTATTAGCGAGATAGAGGATCATCAAGCCAATTCCCAAGGGAAGACAATGATTGATCTGTCCAAAGAAGTCAAAGCCCTCCAGGGTAAAATGCTGGATCTGGAAGCTAGAAGTCGGAGAAATAATCTCATCCTAGCCGGCATCCCCGAGGGTAAAGAAGCCGGTGGCATCTCCCCACTACTGGATAAAATTCTCCGACACTTCCTGAAGCTGAGTGACACAATCCCCGCACCTGAGATAGAGCGTGCCCACCGCGCTCTGCGTCCCATCCCGGACCCTGGGCACCCTCCGCGGCATATCATCATACGTTTTCTCAGATGGAGCGATAAGAACGAGGTGTTTAAGACGCTGGCGTCTGCTAAAGGAAAGCTGACATGGGACGGACATGATCTTCGCATGTTTCAGGATTTCCCAATGGAGATACAGCGCCAGCGGGATTCATACAGAGAGCTCCGTAGCATACTGCGCAAAGAAAACTTACGGCACGGCATCCTGTACCCTGCCAGACTGATCGTAACCATCAACGAGTAGACTTTCATATTCAAAGAAGCTGAGAAAGTTCTAAAAGAAAAGAGACCTGATTTATTTGGGATGTGACATTACCACAAGACTGTGAGTTGGCCTACGCCCCCACCGCACGCGCACACGCGCACATACACACACAATCATTTACACTGACACACACGCATGCCCGCATGCGTGTGTGTCAGTGTGTGTGGTGTGTGCGACTCATAGTCGCACACACCCTCATTAGGATTTTGATGCAGGCTATACTGTAATGTAAGTTAACCCCCAACTAGTTAGCAAAGTTGTGGTTAATGGCAGACAAATGAATAGGCCAATAGGCTATTGAAGGACTGGATTAACTCTCCGCACCTGAGCTCCGCGGCTCTTCTTTT